CAGCCTCCTCCCCGTCCTCCTTCCCCTCCGCTGCCGCCCTCCGTCCTGCTCATCCTGCTGCTTTCTCCTTCCGAGCGCCTTCCGGCAACGGCTACGGCTGCCCCGGGATTTCCGCGGCAGACGGGGGCAAACATCCGAGTCTCTGTTCTTGTTGTTTGGGGGCTGGCGCTGGCGACATGCATGCCGCACTTGCTGCGGTGTCGGGAGCCGCCCGTCTTCGGCATCCGGGGTGGGTCCTCCGCCCAATCCGCCGGCGACTCCGCGAGCCCTGCAGCCTGCCGCGAGCAGGACATGCGGGGTGGTCGCTGGACGCCTGTCGGGATAGGGTCTGCTTTGCTTCTCCCGCCACCCGCCGCTCCCGCTGCCACTCATCGAGTTCTCGCACGTGCCTGTCGGGAGGAGAGTAACAGAAGGGGAGGAGGAAGCGAGGCGGAGATCGGCTCGGCGAGAGGTCGGGATGCTGTCTGGGGCCTGGCCAGCTCACTGTGCCCACTTCAAGGTTGCTCCTCTCTCGGGCTGGCATCTCCCTGGAGGCGTCCACGAGCCCAGAAGAGAGGAGATCGAGAACCAGTCAAAAAGCATGGGGAAGGGGGGTAATTGGAAACAGAAACAACGGCATAAACATAAACTGTTGGCGCTCCGCGCGGATTTCTTGGATCTGGCCTGGACCCCCCTCCCTGGCGAGCGCGCCAGGAGGCCCCAGTGCGGATCCGAGAAATCCGCGCGGAGCCCCAACAGTTTCTGTCCGTCGGCTTTTTCTTCTTCGAAGGACGGAGCGGCAAGGGAGACCATGCGGCCAAGAGCGAGGCGTGGACAAAGACGGCGCAGGATGTGGGGGGGGAGGGGGGACGGCCGATGCGAAGCGCAGCGCCAGGGGGGGGGGACAGATCGAGGCCCAGGCCAGAGAAGAAGATCGAGCGGCCAAGGCCGAGACCTGTCGATTCAATCAAGCGGGCCGAAGGGGGAGGAGAAGGAGGAGGAGGAGGAGAAGGAGGAGGAGAAGGAGGAGGAGAAGCAGGAGGAAGAGATGAAGGAGGAGAAAGAGGAGGAGGAGAGAAGATGAAAGAGGAATGAGGAGGAAGGAGGAGGAGGAGGAGGAGGAGGAGGAGGAGGAGGAGGAGGGAGGAGGAGGAGGAGGAGGAGGAGGAGAGGAGGAGGAGGAGGAGCGAGGAGGCGCGCCGAGCTGCAGCGGGCGGAGAAGAGAGGGGGCGGAGGGGGAAGGGCAAGGGAAGGAGACCAAGTGAAGGAGGGAACGCCTGGCGGTCCCCGCCGCTCCTCCTCCTCCTCCTCCTCCTCCTCCTCCTCCTCCTCCTCCTCCTCTTCAGGGCACGGGCCCGGGCGAGCCGCCGGGACGCGGCGGCTCGCCCTGCCGCCTGCCGCGTGGGCACTCTCAGCGGAGGCGTCGCTCCTTGCCGCCTCCCGCAGCTGCCGCTCCTCTCGGAGGGCCTGCCGCTTCCGCACCCGCGACTCGCGCCCCGGGCGCGCAACGCCGCTCCGGGTGCCCCGCCGCGGCCGCGGAGCCCCCCTGCGGCTGCTCGCCGTCGCAGGGAGACGACGCCGGGGAGGTGGCGTCGCGCTCAGCAGCGCCGCGGCAGGCGGCGACGCCAAGCAGCGCCGTTCTCTCGCGCGCGCTGGTCCGGGGCCCGTCGCTGGTGGCGTGTGCCTCCGGCCTCGCCTCCCGCGCCTCGCCGGGCAGCACCACGAGCTCGCTGCCGCTGCCCGCCCTTCGCGCACCCGGCGGTCCCAGCACTGCAAGTAAGGACCTTGGGCTCGAAGCACCGCCATGGCCCGCTGCCGCTTGAGCTTTCCGCACACGCTGGCTCCAGCAGTGCAGCTGATGACGTCGGGCCCCAGGTTCGCTCGCTAACTGCATCTCGCTGAGGAGCGATCGAGCCCGCTGCCCCTGTTCGCCTTTCCCTGCTCGCGCCAGTGCCAGTGCTGTAGCTGAGGACGTTCGACATCAGCTTGGCCGCCCAACGTCTACTGACCAGCGTCCGAGCCCTAATCCCAGCGTTGAGGTTGACGACGTCGGGCTCCAGTTTCGCCTTCCGCGTTTCCCTGAGCGCTGCCACTGGTCGCCCTTCCCACCCGCGCTGATCCCAGCGCTGTAGCTCATAACGTCGGGCTTCAAGTTTGCGTCTCACGCCGCGCAGAGCAGCGACAAGGCCTGCTGCGACTGCTTGCCCTTCTCGCATGTGCTGATCCCGTCGCGGTAAGAAAGATGAAGCTGGGCTCCAACATTACATCGCTTACATCGCGTATCTCGCCGAGCAGCGCCAACTATGCTGCCACTGATCGCCCTTGTCGCACGCGCTGACCCCAGCGCTGTAGCTTGCGTCGGATTTCGCCTAACACGTCCCGGTGAGCAACAACAGAACCTGCTGCCATGGATTGCCCTCCCCGCACGCGCTGATCCCAACGCTGTAATTGGTGATTGCGTTCGGCTTCAGAATCGCCTCCCGCATCTCGCTCAGCAACGCCAGAGCCAAATGCAACTGCTCGTCCTTTCTTGCACCTGCGAAGCCCACCGCTATAATTCGGATAACGTCCGAATCCCAACACCGCCTCCCACATCTCGCTCAAAGCGCCAGAGCCCGCTGCCACTGCCCACCTTTCACTCACGGGCTGTTCCCCAGCGTTGTAGCTGACTGGCCTGTCGTATCGTCTCTCCACAACAGGGCGACGATCGCAGGGCTGTAGCTGGCTGCGTCGGGCTCCAGCTTCACCTCCCAAATCTCGCTCAACAACGCCAGCGCCCGCTGCCACTGCTCGCCCGTGCACACGCTTATCCCAGCGTTGTAGCTGAGTAGGGCTGACCTGTGGACTACTGTCCACGAGTGCAAGAATATTGAGGGTGCGCCTGCTGCTGCTTAGTGCTCCAATGCGAGATGTGTGCTTGATGGCTGTGTCGGCGTCCAGGGCATCGCTTGCAGCAGCAGCAGCAGCAGCAGCAGCAGCAGCAGCAGCAGCAGCAGATCTGGCAGCATCGGCAGTAGTCCCAGAACGAGTCGGAGCGACGCGACCAGCAAAACACGGCAACCACTGGGCAGAGGGAGCCGTGGGCAGCGAGGAGAATGAGGAGGAGGAGGAGGAGGAGGAGGTCGAGGAAAAAACAATCAGAATTAAACAACACCACACACCTCCTGGGACACGCGCCGTGCGAGAGGCGTTTGCGGCTCGGTCTGGAAACACTTGTTGCAACCCCTCTCGCACGAGAGGTGTCCCAAGAAGAGGTGTGGTGTGCGTGTGCGCCTGAATGTGTTTATGTGTGTGTGTGTGTTTGTGAGTATATTTGTGTGTTTGTGTGCTTGTGTTTGTGTGTGTGCTTGTGTCTGTGTTTGCATGTGTGTTTGTGTTTGTGTACGTACGTGCGTGCGTGCGTGGTTGCGTGCGTGCGTGCGTGCGTGCGAGCGTGCGTGCGTGCGTGTGTGTGTGTGTGGGTGTGGGTGGGTGGGGGGGGGTTGGTGTGTGTTCCAATCAGGCGGCGCTTCCATGAAGTAGCAATTAGCAGTGCACCCTGGGGGAAAGGGTTATTTGAGGTTTCTGCCGAGGCCTCTTGGGCAGCTCCTGGGGGCCTCTTGGGAGCGTCTCTGGGGCCTTCTGAGGCCTCTCGGGGGCCCGCTGGCTTTGGAGACGGCCAGATGGGGGGGGGGGCGGTGCTCCAGAGTTGGCCTGCTTGGGCCTCCCTTGGACCCGTCTTGGGGGTCTTTTGGCCTTGCTGGGAGGCCTCCGGAGGCCTCTGGGGGGCGTCTTGGGTCATCTGAGGAGCGTCCTGGGAGGCTGGCTTGGCTGCGTCGGGCCGATGTCGGAGGCCTCGGGTGCGAATCGGGCCAGATGGGGGGGAAGCGTCCCTTGGGGCCGTCTTGGGGGGTTCTCGTGGCGTCTTGGGGGCCTCTGGAGCGGTCTTGACGGCATCTTGAGCCGCCTTCGGGGCCCGCCTGGGGGCCGCCCAGGCCGCGCGGGACCGATGTAGGAGGCCTGCGGTGCCGTGTTGGGCGTCCTGGTGTCGGAGAAACGAGCATCAGAAAACATAGCACAGCAGCTGTGGTAATATCGGTAGTGATGCGTCCTCACCGCTCTCCTGGATGTCCTCTGGAAGGCTTGTGGAGCTGGGTTGGGTCCCTCTGAGGCCTTCCTTGGTGCGCTCTTGGGCTATCTGGGGCTCCGTGGAGGCCACCGTGGGCTCTCTGAGGGCCCTCGTGTGCCGTTCGCGCAAGCGGAGAAGCCGAGGCGCCGCCCCCCAGAGGGGCCTCACGAGAAGCATTCCTGGGCGTTCGTGCGGTTGGATCCGGAAGCACTCTGCTGCAACCTCTGCCTCGCGAGAAGTGTCCCAAGAGGTGTCCGGCGGTGGACAAACCTCCCTGTAGTAAGAGAGAGAGCGCGCCCGCAGGGCCCGAGCAAAGGGGAGGGGGGGCTAGGCTTAAGCTACCCCCCCCTCCCTTGAGCCGCCCTTGTTGGAAGCACCCCCCCCCCTCCCCCCTTTTTTTTGCAAGGGGGGGGGAGGGGCTTACAGCTACCCCCCCCCACTCCCCCCCTTTTCGTGTCAGGGGTGGGAGGGGTGCTTGAAGCTACCAACTCTCCCCCCCCCCTTTGGCCGCTCCGGAAGTACCCCCCCCCTACCCCCCTTTCCAAAGGGAGGGGGGTGCTAAAGCAGCCACCCTCCTCCCTTGGATCCGCCCGTGCTGAAGAAGCTCCCCCCCCCCTCCCCCCCTTTGTGCCAAAGGGGGGGGGGACTTGGAAGCCCTTCCCCCCTTCCCCCCTTTGGCCGCCCAGCTCCCGGAGCCTCCGCCCTCCCTTTCGCCGACGATCCAAAATGAACAATCCACGATCG